AAACGATCCACCTAAGCTTTTCCTAACTTGAGTAAAGGGTAGAGAATTCCAACTTTAGTGAATATTTATTTATGAATTTGACACTGAATACTGTAGTTCTTCTTGAATAGTGGATTCGTCCCTGTCATTTCACACGGCCCCTCTCAGAATCCTGAATCGAGATTTTTTCTCAAGAGATGAAGCGCGCGCAACTCACTGGGCCCACTCTGGGATGCGCCGTGTGCTTCACATCCCTTCATATTGGTGGACTCATTTGAAAGATAAAATATCCGTCGGAAAACGTGCGAATTTCGGATTCTTAACTTGTCGTAATAAATCACTGAGGTAGCTAAGAATTACTACGCGGACCCCTTTGAATCACGAAAATTTTATGTGGGCGGAATAACATTGTTATTGGAAATCCTTTGGCCAAGCTTGCACAGCATCGATCACTCCTTGATGTTTGTTTTCAAAGTTCTTCGACAGAAATGATCCTTCTGCACCGATACGGCCCGACCCTTCCTACCAGTGAACCAAATACACCCCCCCCCTGTGGACCTGTCGAGGATTCCTCAACGCCCGCTGGGCCTGTCTGAATATGTCCCCTGAATTGGAATCATGAGTGTAGTGATGGTGCTTGTGACGACTTGACTTTACTCGCCGCCGCGCGTTGCGGTTTAGCAGTAGAGCGCGTTACCTTGCGCCTTGGCCCTTTCGTGTTTTCCATTGTGTCTTTTTCTCCATTCACTGTGGTCAGTAAAGTCCAGGCAGAAACACTGAGGGAATAATCAAAACATTTTACTTCCGTTAGTATGCTCGGATCTTGTTGTCATTGAACAGGCGCGTGTATGTGGTCGACTTCCCCTTACTGCTTATCCAGTATCTGAGACTCAAGTTCCACACAGCACAGCCACTACACCAATTAGGCTTGCCTTCTATGAGTGGCCCAAGTTTAGGTGCTGGTGTTGTCTGGGAAGAAACTGGTTAAAATTGGAAGTCAGCTAGCTCTGAGAGTTCCTGTATGGGTCAAATACAATTCAATCCCGAAATGGTTCCTAATCGAAGTCAAATGTACCTTGACCCACTTTACCCGATAATTTGGACAAACCGATGCGATGAATATTGGAATTCGGTTTCAGGAAGCTATTTTGTGGCAGATTTATTCTTTGACGTCTACGAAATGGCTGTCGACACGACATTCATTTGTTTCCGTGAGTAATTTCCATTAAAGAGAATAATCATTTAACAAGTACAAATATTGATAGGAATGCATTGGTGCACCTAAACAGCACAGTATTCTAATTGTTTCCATTTTTTTAGTGGAAGATTCTGAACAAAACGACGGAAGTGTGGAGAAGCCGTACTACATGTCCAAAAATCTTCAGAGGATCCTCGATATAAAGAATGAAAAATGACGCTAGCGCCTCTCTTGATCCAGTCTCACTGCCCTTTCCTAAAGAAAGAGACGTTTGATCTATTGATTGACACATTACGTGTTTGCATGTCTGCGTCTCCGAGTGTTACATAATCTCCTCGGTGCCATTGTATCTAATCAGTTAAACTTATTCACCACTTACCCTCATCTCACAAATATCTCTTCAAAATCTCCTTGAATAGTCATCGTGATATCTCTCGAAACGCTCACGAAAATTTACATGTGACCTAACGTGTACAGTGTATTTTATGCAGGTTCTCATCTCGGCTTAGATTCATTAACAACTACTACAACAGGTCGTTCCATCGGAAGCATAGTTGGCACCAGGGTAGCGCCTAGTACCCCATGTTCTAACCTCGTCTGCGCTTTCTCGCCTAAGCGGTGTCCCTTCAACTAATGCCGCACAGATTGGCTCACCGCGATGCCCCTTTCTCCTCGTGTGAGCATAAGCCCACTCCTGAGCGGCTCCAAGGCGAGTCAACCGCTGCCTTTCATCCGTGTACGTTGTAGTATTTGCCAGAGAGTCCAACAGTAAACCTTTACCATATTTTCGAGCCACGTCCCAGTGCTATATCATCAGAAGCGATGTTCTGTCCCACTTCCAAAACGTTCTTGCGGTGGAACGATGAGGTAAGCAAACCAGCCCTTTTGGCGTTTCTGCTGGGGCCGTATGCTGAATGTTGGGGAGGGGATGGGGTCCCCGAGGTCGACGGACTACTTCAACTCGGTCGGTACGGTAGGAGAGTGATGACGAAGTGGTGCAGCTAGGTCCAGCAGCTCCGCCAAAAGGGCTGGTTTGCTTACCCCAGGACTAAGCCTTGAAGAGAGGACGGAGTAAGCATCAAATTGAGGCGGTTTAAGGACCGAGTTGAAGTAGTCCGTCGACCGTCGGGGACCCCATCCCCTCCCCAACATTCAGCATACGGTCCCAGCAGAAACGCCAAAAGGGCTGGTTTGCTTACTTCTGGAACGATCTGTAGGGCATCGATAGATCATGTGCCAAGCATGTATTGTGCATTATGTTGTATTTCCAATGAAAGTTAAAATTATACAGATTTGTTGTCGCAGTATTTGCCAGCCCGACTAGCGCAAACTTCATAGCTTTTGCTTACGCAAATGTCGACGCGGATGTGTCATAGACCGTGGAATACCAAAACATCGGGAAGCAATCGAATAGAAAAAATCGGCGATGACTTGGCAGCGACAAGCAAACGCCACTGCACATTCCAAAAGTTTACGTAAACTGTTGCATGAAGCTAAAACAATTTATTATACATTACGCAGTCTACAGAACCAGCCTGTTTGGGCTAGACCTGGCATCTTTTTCACAACACTTCTCTGGAGCCTGGAAATGACATTTTACGCTGTTCATACAGCCGTTCATAATTCAGGAGTAAACACGACCGAAAGTCGCCTTCACCGAGAACGGTCAATAGTTTCACACTCAGTCCAATCATTCGAGGCCAAGCCCGCTATCAGTTTCAATTGAGGAATCCCTGGCATCAGTGCATTACTGGATGCAAAACAGCAGAAGTTGGGCCACATTCGCGCTCCGAAACGCGCCACTAACTAGGAAGGTCTTTCAGGTCCCGATTTTCAAAGCAGTTTTTTTTTGCATTGTGTAGAGACACGCGCACAAAATATAGGACTATGCTTCATTCCCTGAGCGGGCAAAGCCTAAAATGGACGAAATTTGGTCCATAGTTCAATTTCTTGTGGAGACGAAGTTCTGAATTTGTGATGGGCGCTTTTTTGGCGATTCTTTTTCATTTTTCTCTCAACTGGCAGTCCATATCGCAGTACCACTTCCATAATTGATTGGAAACTACATCAACCTAATGGTGGTGGCGTGACTTTAACTAGTGGGGTTTGCTTCAGTAAATTTGGGGGCTGCCCATCGAATATGATATTGAAAGGCATATCCTCTTACCTTTTTCTGGATAACCCGTATTACCAATTTTACAAATTTCAAAAAAGCGCTGAATCCAGTAGACAAGCTTGTTATACAGCCAAAATCCAAACTGATAGATGACATGGCTCACCAAGCATAAGTTCCGTTTCCCAGCAGTGATCTCTGTGTGCAAAAAAAAGTCGAAGTCAAAAAAGGTCCGTACTTTTTGGGCATACACACTCATCTCCTTCGATTTCTCGTTTTTTTCTGAAGCTGAGCGATGGGGTCCAGTTTCAAATGGCGTCTGAAAAGCAAATAATTGGTGCACCAAAGCTGTCACTACCGTATGATACGGTGTCGCCTTACTGCACCTGCATGCTTTGACAATAACGCGTCTCCTTTATAGGGGTGTGCACCTTGAGTCCAAAGTGCAATTATGGGGAGACCACCTCGCACCTACACTCACTTGCCTGTGGGAAGACCTTGTTAATTGCGCTGGGTTGTCTGCTGACCTCTTCCTCTCAGACTCAGTATCGATCTTTGAATAATGAACTTTATCACATAAACAATCCATTCCAAATCGCGGATTAAAACGAAACAATAAACGAAACATTAGAGAAAATGCAAAAGCGCGTCAGTAAACTTCAAAAGCTATATAAACCAAATTGTTACGAAGCAAATGATAGAAAATTTTCCAGAAAGACATTTCAGTCTCAAATCTCTTTCTTTGTTATAGTTGATTAAGTTCATTTCGTGTTCTTACAAGGGAAGTCGTTCACGGTGTGGAGCGCTTTTTCAAAACGGTTTTTGCATGCTGTAGGGGCTCTCACGGGGACTACTATGTTTCATTTTCGCTGAGCGGCCCCCTGAAGGTCAAAAAATGGTAAAGAATGGTCCGAGGTTCAATCCCTCCTGATGACAAAATTTTTGCATTTGGGTTGGAGCTTCCAAATTCGCTCCTAATAGCGCCAGCGCCAATATTAGGTGTCGTGTTCATCATCAAGACCATCAGTAAGTATTGCACTCGAATTTCAACCGCAATTCGGTAGAAAAATAATGTAGCGCCAGATGGGCGCCGCAGTGGCGTAAATTTGAGCATCGGAAAAAATGGATGTCATATCCGTGATCAGGGCACTCGATATCCCTTATAATAGAAGTTTTAGAGAAAACTGAGATTTTGACCTGGATCCGAAAAATTGGCCATTGATAGGTCAGTAGCCCATAGTTGCCTCCAGCCGGTGAACTGGAAACGAGTTCCTTGTTATCCTTCTCAAATAAGGGAAGTTCTACTACTGAATGGACAATGGCAGACAACCAGGCTAGTAATGTACGTGATGTTGAAGCCGGTAGATTCTTTCCATCAAAACCTGATCTGTTGGGTCCTTCAGTGGCTCTTCCACTCGCAGGCTTCATCTCGATAGCTAGATCGATTTCAAGGACTGCGATGTGGTGTAGAATATTCTCTATGAAGCCGAACTCTAGATTCCGTGAATCACCGCAGCATTCCGCTTTATTTTCGCGCAGCGCTCGTTTTCAAGTCGCCCGCCGGCTTGTATGACGAGCTGTAGCCCATGGTCACCTTTTTCGAAGTTAGGTCAAAATCTCGACTTTCGCCGAAATTTTGGGGTAAATCAGGGTCCTGATCACGAATATAGCGTTTATTTTTGGCGTCGGCGCCATTTGGCGCCAGTTTGGCGCTGCAAATTGATTCCGCCAGTTTTTTAGAAAACCCATTCGCAAGGGCTGCTGATGGTCCTGATTGTGTGAATATAGCGTTAGTTTTGACGTGAAGCAATTTGGCACCGATTCGGAGATGAAAATCAAAAGCACTCTTTTAGCACTACCACCAACGAATCTTCAATTTCAGAGCGAATTTCATGTTGTCTCCGATACCATCTTGATCAGTGCCCTTTATGCAGGTGTCTTTTTACAAGCCCGAAACGTCACTCCAAGGCTGCAAAAACCACGCCTTCTTAACAAATTTTTTCGACCTTTTTTGGCCTTCAGGGGGCCGCTCAGCGAAAATGAAACGCAGTGTTGTAGTCTATGTGAGAGCCCCTACAGCTCCACACCCTGAACGACCTCCCTTGTTAGTACGTCGTAGAAAACTCCACATTTGCATTTTTGACTTGGTGAATTTTGGTGGAACTTAACATGCTTTCTGGAGCGAATTCATATAACTTGAAACAGCAACAATTTTCTGTTGGCTAGAGATTCAATTTAAGTGCCTTTTTAATACTGACACACTACTCACTCGTGTTTCAAGATATTTTCCAGTATCAACTTGATTTCACATTTTTTACTGTCTTTTTTGATTCGGTGAGGGTATCATCATTCTCTCATATCACTTAATTCTGGACTAGCATGCAGTATATAGTAAATTAAAGAGAATCTCAACATTGCTCTACAACAAAATCGGCCATTGCTCATGGTTAATTTATTGTTGAAATACGTACGGAACGAAGCGATAACTGCACCATTTATCCTTTTTTCTTCTGCGGTCATACTTTAAAGAAGATGTCTAAAGATTTGCCAAATTTTGCGGGGCTCATGGTGATCAGGCTCTATCATGTCTGAAGGTTCATTCTCAACAGTTTGGAAGTGGTGATTCTGATGTCTTGCAGAAAACATCCTGGCTAGCAGCTAATACTTTGCAAGCATTATGACGCTTTTGGATGAACGGTGAATTTGGGATGAATGAGATGAACTAGAAGTTCCTAGAGTTGCTGTTCTAACTCTTACATGCAAAAGGAAAGATTTAAAAAAAACAGCTGCTACACGAATATGCAGAATCTCCACATGGGGTCTGCTCGGAGCAGAACCAGGTTTTGAGAAAAAACCCCGAGGAAACTCTTTTGGACAAAAAATCTTCCCATCTCAATGTAATCAACGGAGTCTTGCGATAACCACTTTATTAGATTGATGCAGCGCAATCTAGAACGCCTGTGCGAGGTCAGAATCAGCAAAGTCAATTCATTGAGGTCACAACGCAGGCAATTGCTAGGAGGCACAAGGTAGCATGTGTGAGGTAGTGATTAAGTGGAAGTCCCTCTCCCCATTTATGGTTAAGTGGTCCGCTGTACGGATTA